GATATCCGGATAATGTCTACTAGCTTGCTATCACCAAAATATGTTCACGTTTCCGATAATGAAAGCAAGTTAGCAAAAAATAAAAAAAATAAATACACACTATCCACAGCTTCTAAGATAAATATAAAATATATATCTGTGTCAGAGTTAACTCCTCCTTCAGTTCGTTAACCCTTTCACCAGGGGTCTCTCTTCCCTGGCTATAAATAGTCGCTGACCCTTCGCCTCTTCCTCTTTTTTCCTCAGGCTTTTGGGCCGACTTCTGGAGGTAAATCTCTCTTTTCCCTCAGGCTTTCAGCTTTATTACCTGTGAACGCTCACAGAGATAGCGTTCCCCAAATGCTGGGAACACGCTAAGCACAATACACACACACACACACACGCACATATATAATATTCACACACACACTTTGTCCTTTGTAACTGTTTCCATGTAACTTGTTATTAATATCTATATTTGTATACATATATTATCGGTCTTGTGTTTGTTTTTTCTTTGCCTTCTTCTTTGGACTTAATTAAAGTCCAACTTTCTCTGCAGTTGGGCCGGCTAGCAGGAAAAATTTAACCCACATGTTTCTTCCATTTTTATCAACAACATCACAGCCACGGTCCACTACATCTGCACATTTTTTATCCTATTGTTTATTAAAAATTCCTCGTTTCTCACGTGGTTTTGCAACATGCTTCTAGGAAACCTCATCATTTTTGCCTCAAGTTTCCTATTTATCTGTTAATAAACAGTCTACCCTTAACTTTAATATAGGAGAGTGGTTATTACGGCGCAGTTTTGTTTCTAAATAAATCTTCCTGCTTCTTAAGACAAGGTATCTCCGCAAAATGTAACTACGCTTTAAATGAATGTAGGTTCAGTGTTTATTGATTTGCAAACAAGGGTAATTGGTTAAAATTAAGAACTAGTAATGTTTATTGACTTACAAAGAAATTACCAGCGAAATGCCTCATTCTGTGCTGAGTTATGCGGGAAAGTTCGTATTTATAAAGTTGTATTTTACTAGTGTTACATAGCTTACTGAAAGAACTATTTTGTTTCACGTTGTTGGGTATGATGCAATCCGGTCAATATATTAGAAACCATTTATTTTATTTTCGTTATTTTTTTCTTTAGAAAATAAAAATTACATCTATTTACTTCCCAGCTGTATATTCGAAAAAATTTCAAGAATTTATAAAAGAAGAAGTAAGAATAATTTCAATATACAGATGGTCTGAAAATCAAATCTCGTCTCTTCGTCTTGTTACCGTTATCCATCTATCAAATTTGTCCGCGTTTATCCGGCATGGCCTTGAACTTTCAAGGTAAATCTGAATCCTCAGACGCACATACAATGATGTTCACCTTGTAAAAGAGCCACTAGATCTAGAGGATTATAGATCAAAAGGCACCATACAAAAAAGAATGATAATGACACCAAGACGCATGAGGCTACCGGAAGTGAGAGAAGGAAATGACTTTATAGGTATCCGGAAATCTATTCACTATTGAATAAAAACAGATTTCAATACATTGTAATTAAAAATTCAGAGATTTATACGGGGATGGTAGAAGTATAGAGTTAAAATTCTCATTAGAAGGAACTGTAAACATAATCCTAAGTAGGAAACAACCTCTTCTTCTGTTTAAAAGACAGAGAAGGAGTGTGAAGAGAACGATAGACAAAGTAATCTATTCCTATTCAGTAAAATATCATGCAAATATACATAGTAAATAAAATTTCAGCGTTTAGGCGGAGACGTTAGAATTGAAGTAGACTTTAGAAGGAACCGGAAACTCAATCCTAAACAGGAAAACAATGAAAAATCTTTACACCTCTTCAAAAGAGAGCGGAGGAGATTGAACCGGACGAGAGGCAAAACTATCTACTCCAATTGAGGAACGAACGTAAATAAATCGGAGACAAAATTTCAGAGTTTTAAACGTAGACGTTAGAAATATAAAGTTGAAGTAGATTTTAGAAGGATATTCGTATACGTGAGCTTTCTCTTAATAACCTTGTATAATTTAAGATTCTTTTTTTTTAAATAAATCAACGTTTGAGCTTTTAAAATAAATTCTGACAAGTTTAATATCTTGCCCACTGATAACCTCGAACTGTGTAAAGCCGTCCTGTTCAAATGTCTTACATTCCAACTAAGTATAAAAACAACCGTAGCACATTACCAACCTTCAGATCAATTATGTAAGTCGGTGGCCTGGGACCATGTTCGATCGCCAATATGCCAGTCAGAACACGAGATTAACGCTGGTGATCGATTTTTTGGACGCCAGCAAGATGAGAACTGTTGCCAAGCACATGGACTCGGTCCTTCGCCTGTCGGATTCGCTGAAGAGCGCCTGTACCCTTTCCCCTTCAACAGAGAGGGCAGGCCGCCAGATATCTGAAAATGACACAGACATATTTCGCGCGAAAATGGACTGGCAAACTTAAAGCACCAACCCAACAATATTATTATCTTCTGGTTATTCTCATTTTTCCAGAACTACCATTCCTGACTATCGCAACGGCAGATTTTTAAATTGATATCTAAACAATTAGATACACGAGTAGACCTGCGTGTGTTCACTGCCTTTGATTGAGTGATTTCTGTATTTTGCATCGATTTGTGTTCTTTTTAATTCAATCTCGTATGCTAATTTTAAAAGCAAGTAAACCTTTCAACATTTAATTATTTTACATAGCGCAAACGTTAAACAGTTTCTGTGCGCTTGGAATAAAGAACGTTAATCCGTTTCTTCCCCCCACTCGAACAGCTTAGGTTAGGTCACCCAATCCAACACATGTGTCTCCTTTTTCGCAACCACAGCCGCACTGCTGTGTCGCCTCGGCAAGCATTTTTGTTGCTTGAGTGACAGGTCAAATTTGCATAGGTGTAAAAAAGAATCTCGCGAAAGTATCCGAATCCGAGTATCCGACTCAAAGTTTCTTAAATATAGGACTCACAAAGTCGACATATTTTTTTTTTGTGGAGTGTGGCTCGGTGATACTTTACACGTGAGAGACATCCGAATCCGATTTCTACCAGGTGGTAAGTCGTTTTTTCTCGTGTTACACAAACTTTCAATATTTTTTTTTAGATTAATCTATCTATCTATCTATCTATCTATCTATCTATCTATCTATCTATCTATCTATCTATCTATAACACATTTGCCGCTGATGAGTGCTTCAATACAACACGTCTGTGTGGTTGTTTTCTAACCAGAAAACAAAAAAACAATTGAACTTCGCTTAATTTATCGAATCTTTTTCTATCTATCTATCTATATATATATATATATATATATATATATATATATATATATATATATATATAATATAAAAATACTTAAAAATCCATATTTATTTCATTGAGGTGGGGAAAATTGGCTTCAACTCTTTAGAATTTTTAATATATATATATATATATATATATATATATATATATATATATATATATAATGTATATATATATATACCTTGGAAATTGGCTAAGCTAGATTTTTGTCGGAATTAGATTTAGTTGTCATTTTCAGAGTTATATTTCCAGAAGTTTCCAATATCGACTGATATGTATATACATAACAACTTATGTATAATGACAGAAAATATCATTTCAACAAATGAAGGCTATGCGGATGTTGTCATGGGTATAGTACATTCATATTAGAGTGCATGTTAGACTTGTGGACTCCATGTGGAGATTCTATTCACTGCCTCGCCATTGTAAGAGTCGCCCATATGGCTTCTGTATGAAGGAGTATTTTTTCCCGGGATGGCATTGCTAGCGGCATGCCTAGCAGATTTTAAATTTAGAAATATACTTCTCCAAGACTGATTGCTAGTCAAAGCCAGAGAGTTCGGTATACCCTGTTATTAACCTCAATCAAGATGTCTGATAAGGAGGTAGTTAGTTTTCAAGCTTATCTACGCAAAAGTGAACTTAATACATGGAATTTGAGCTCGCTAAGTTTCATCCCACTTTCTTAGCCCATAACTTTACGCTTTCTTTCTGTCCATATTTCTGACATCAGGTATTTTAACTATTTACACTACATTTTCGGACTGTTGTCCCTTATCTTTATTTCCTAGTCCCGACGATTCGGCTGTTGTACTTTCCGGCCTACTGTAAGTGATTGGAATTTTGAATCAAAATTTTATTTCTTCCAGCGGGGTAGATTGTTCTGGTTCCACATGCCGTGGCTCTTCCGGATAACTCAGTTTCAGTCATTTCCTTTTAATAACTCAAATCTACAAGTTTATGTCCACCTCTTCTGTGGCCAGGTATAATCAACTCACAACTCCTTGGGACAAGTCAATGGAGTACTTCTACCAACGCTTTTATTCGAAATTCCAATCACCTGAACGTCATGAATATGACATCAAAGATGATGACAGTCCGAATAATGTAAATAGCGCAAGGATAGTTGGGTCCCTGTGTCACGCCAGAAGGTTCTTCTCGCCGGAGTCCATTATTCAAATCTACAAATCAACCATTCGTCCTTGCATGGAATATTGCTGCCATATATTGTCTGGTGCTCCCGCTGTTCCTCTCAAGGTTTTCAACAAAATACACTGACGGATATGCAACGTGGTTGGTCCTCATCTGGCATCCCGTCTAGAGTCGCTATCTTACAGACGTGTTGTGGCTCTCCTCTGTCTTTTCTACAAGTACTTTCATGGCAACTGCTCCGTCGAGCTACTTTCACTGGTTCCCAAACTTTATGAATTTAAGCGCGCTACTAGATTGGCATTTCGGTCCCAAACATTCACTGTCGAAACTGCTAAATATAGCCATCACTTCTACTCCAATAGCTTCTTATCTCGCACCTCCGTCAGTGGAACTCCCTTCTTCTTACTTGCTTCCCTGGTAGCTATAATCTTCAAATATTCAAATGGCATGTTAATCGACATCTTCTGATGCCTTGGCCTTGATCCCTGTCCTTCTCTTTATCCTTTTCCCAAACACTCCTTACTCTTACTCTCACTCTCTGTAACCTCTTGCGTGCTAGTGGCACTCTTCCGTGCTTGGGGCGAATTGCTTAAAAAACAAAAAAATAGAAATTATGTTCGGCCATGGTCTGGCGTATGAGATTTCGAAATGGTACAAAATCTGTGTCCGATAAGAATCATTGTGTTAAAATACCCAAAGAGGATTCTTTTGTTCAGCTGAAATTCTTTGAAAGACATTGGATTGTTAGAATTCTAGAAGCATGTCATTTTCCAGCATTACTGGGCATGTTGGACTCGATATATTGCCCAGACTTCGATTTTGTCGATCGATAGACTAGATGTTTGTTTACATAGGTGGTTCTCAAACATTTTTTTCTTTATCCATGAACCACTTTCACTGTTAGATTTTACTGAGTGTTCATAGCCATTCGATATAAAGAATTTTATTTTTTGGTAATAAATAATATTAGGAATTGTATTAGAGAAATATTAAATGTATATTTTTTTCATGAAAATAAACTTATATTAACAACTAAATTCTACTGAACATTTAGGTACGCTAATGAAATACTAATTTGAAAATTTTTGAGTAATTAAATTTTAAAAAGTGTAATGAGATCGTTGTGGATTATGCTGCTTCGTGAATTCTTTTTTTTATATATATTCGGCTTCATCAATGTCAATGATAGTCGAAGATCACTTCTTTTGCCAATGTCGATTCTATTATATTAATCAATTTAAATTAATATATTAATATTTTATTTCATCTTATAAATATTAAGATTAATATTATTATTTATATATTAAATTATTTCACATAAAAAAATATAATCATTATAACGAATGTAGTATTATGTGATAAAATCTGTTTAAGCCTTCATGCAAGTAATATTAGACTTGTATGGGCGACATTTTCCGAGATGTGCTATTCAAAAATCCAAAACCATTGATCTCTGACATTATAGTCACAGAGACAAGAATTTAGATCTCTCGTTGTTATTTGGTGTATGTGGGTAAAAGGAAAGTCAAAGAGACTCGTGTACATACATGACACTGTCCCACACGTTCTACTATATTTCCCCAGCAAGAAGGTAATGTGCTGTTTCAGGCACAGGTAAGTGCCTACCCGCTCAATACCCGTTAGCCCAATGCCCACTCGCCTGATGTTCACCCACACGAAAAAACACTCGCACCGTGGCCACTCCCATGATTCTTATTCTCATGATGCTCACTTGAACGGAGTCCATACTCACGATGCCTACCCACACGATACCCGATATACCCATGACCCTCTGAATGTCTTCGACAATGCACTTTGACAGAACGATCGATAGATTTGTATGTTATTGTACATATATACGAATTGACAGCCACAAGTCTGACCAATTCAGTTAGAAGACATTCAGTTCTAACTGGATTGCATCAATCGATATATTATTCGCGGAATAATGGATCGAAGAACGATATTTTCATGATCAAATGCATGTGAGTTTATAGGCCGAATAGATTTTTTTATTGATTTAATTTTGGTGTCTTAAGTTAAATGGAAAATCATTGACAAGGCCAGAATATGTAAAGCTTGGGATGACCCATGCCTTTTGTGCCTCCATGAAAAATTGCACAATTCCCTTTCATAATAAAATAAAATAAAATAAATAAATAAATCTCCTTAGACAATCAAACTAGACGATGGCCAATACATCTTCCGTTTCATTTTTGACACCCCCACCTTTCCCCGACTTGACACCTTGAAAGTATCTCTATACCGCTACTCAATATAAACACCCTACACTCGCCTACCCAATTTAGAAAATTCACCATAGCTGTTACCATGGAGATTTTGATTTCAATTTTAAAACATGTAAATTTCAGATATACGTTATTCCAACAAAAATTTCGCTTGAGGATGGAACGGAGCCCATTTTACTTTCAACTCAATTTAATTTAAAGGATTATATTGAAGTTTTCGGCTCTAGTTTTGAAACATGAGACCTCTTATGTAGCGATTTGGAATCATATTTTTAAATAAATAATTATATTTATGCTCTACTTTTGTATCGAGCACTATTTTTTAAAAATAATAACTAAAATACTAAAGGACTTTGGATTATTTACCTAACCAGTTCCTTCCTATTTTCTATATATTTTCCACACACACACACACACACACACACACACATATATATATATATATATATATATATATATATATATATATATATATATAAATCCTACAAATTAACCCATAACTGAAGGAGCAACGATCTTTGCATGGAAGTGAAACTAACGAGCCTGATTGGAATAGCAAGTGGCCACACCTCCAGGTGTTGACGAAGCTCAGTGTTGCTTAACTTCGGTGATTGTACGAGATCAACACCGAATAGGACACCCTCCTCGCACCTTCAACACACATTCTAAAAAAAAAAGACCCAACTGAATGATATTCTTCTTAAGAAAATTATTCAAAATTACACGCTCACATTAAAGACGCTCATAGAAAACCGTTTATTTTATTAAACAAGTAATTTATACAAATGAAGTAATTATAAATGGTAATAAATTTAATGGTTGGTTGACATCCCTTTTGCTTTTTTTTAATGCAAGGACCCTTCTAGGCATGCTAGCGATGAGTTCACGAATAACATCTTGAGGGATTTTTTCGCCATGTTTGACGCAATAATCCTAAAAGTTCAGGCTTATAAGATGGCTTCCTGTTCTTTTTGTGGAGTTTTCAATCTAATATACCACAAAGGTGTTCAATAGGGTTAATATTCGGGGACTGACTTGGCCATGGAAGTTTATTGATCCCATTTTGTCTCAACCAATGTTGCGTTGCTTGAGCAGTGTGACATGGAGCTCCATCTTCCATAAATAAGGAGTCAACTTTGCTCATTCTACTAGAGAATATTGGAAGGAGCCCTTTCTTTAATATAGAACCATATTTTGTTGAATTAGTGTTTCCTTCACACTCCACAAGCTCTGAACGACCATCACTCCAAATTGCACCCTATACCATTACTGAAATGCCCCCATGTTTCACCGTTGGCTGCAGTCTTTTTAAATCAAACTCTTGACTACAGAGTGTCCATACCCATACTCTTCCACTGTCGGAAAATAATGCGAATCTTGACTCATCAAAGAAAATGACAGTGGTCCAAAAGGTTACAGGTCTCTCTACCATCTCATGATCCCAATCCTTTCTGCGTTTGATATTGGCTGGACGGAGAAGTGGTTTCCCTCTCGCAGCTCTGCCATAGTAGCCCAGCTTGTGAAGATACCTGACAGCTGTGCTGGGACTGACATCAGCTTTTGTTGCTATGTCAGAGGCCTTGCAACGTGAATCCTGTTCAACATGTATAAAAAATTGTATTCTTTTGGGCGCAGTTTCGTTTCTAGTAACCACTTCACATGACATCACATTAGACCATGTCAAACTTCTGCGTTTCCAAAGAATACCAGAATAAAGACAAAGGAATTCTACAATACAGATTGATTCATTGGTTCTTAGAGCTGACTGAGATGGTCGAAAGCCTTTGAACAAATGAAAACACATGTTTCCCCTTCGATATCAATATATAACTTCCGTTAAGTTAACCGTTTAAATGTGTCAATGTCTGCTAACTCACTCATGTCTTCTCTCTCCCCCCTCACTTCCTCACTTCGTGATTTTTACATATGTTTAATACGGCCCGCCAAAAATGTGTAAATTTTCTTTTCATTTTTTGTTTGGAAGTAAATTCTGATGATCCACAGTCCTTTAAAATGGCTGTGGTGAAATAATTTATTACATGGAACCTTAAACTGGTCTGTTTTTATTTAAATTATTTGCTCTGGATTTACATTGAGCTCTCTGGATTTTGTCCTCCTTAGTTTTACCCATACGGATTACCTAGTGTTTTAATAAACTAAATATATATATATATATATATATATATATATATGAAGAAATATAGTCTCAGGGTGTGCTATATTTATGGGATAAAGTGCTCAATATCAGAGATAAAGCGTGTGTAAATATAAAAGTGAACATAGAAGTCAACACTTAGAGGCGACAGTCTGTTCCATGTTATATGCAATCATCAGGCCACGTGTGCTGTTATTTTTCTCGGCTATTTATATATATACGGGTCAGTGGTGCATTGTGGTGCAGAGTGAAATTATATATATATATATATATATATATATATATATATATATATATATATATAATTTCACTCTGTAAGCTCTAGTTAAGAGTTGATATGGTTTTCTGTTGTAAACATAAATGTAGCATATTTTAAAACTATATTTTTTTCATATGCATACAAACACAAATTTTAAGGCAGTTTAAAAATCATTCATAGTAATGAATCGAGTCTAGAAAAAATCTTCAAATAAAATGCAGTGGAGGGCCGTTTTTTTTCCTTTTTGCGACTCACCAAGAGTGCGAATTCACAACTAATAATCAACCGTACCGATACATCGCAAGCGTCAGGCCACTGGACCTACCGTTCTAGGTGACGACAAAAAAAAACTACCTAGACTCAATATAGCGCAGCTACTCACTAAATTCCTGTGGTGATACTGATCGAAGTATACATAAACCAACGGATAGGCCCCGAACGTCTTCTTTCACCAAGCCGCTCCCTAGAGAGCATTAGATCCTGGATTAAGTAAGGATATATAAGTGATAGAATTTTGTGGGAAATTTAGTGACTATGTGCGCTATATTGAGTTTAGTTAGTTTCGTCTTCGTCACCGAGGCCCGTTGATCCATTGGCATGACGTTTGCCTTCCGTCGTAATAGTCCGGGTTCGATTATTGGTACTGGCTGCGCACTGCTGAGGATTCCCCGAAACGACGAAATTGCCGCTCTGCATTCTGTTGGGGACTCTTCTAGACTCGATGAATAACAATGAATGATTATTCAATTCCACACCCCAAATTTCTATCACTTATATCTGTGACAGCAATATTCTAAGCATGGACGATTGGTAAACAAATAGATATGTAAGATAGAGAGAACAATTACCCAGCATGACACAGTGAAAAGCATTCTTAGCAGCTGACCTAGCAATGGATTCAATATAATATTTCCACTTCATGTCTGCCGAGAAAGTTAATTTGAGTATGCGCAACGTTTCATCTTCCCGGAGGTTAGCATCAGCCATGGTAATGGAATGCAGATAACAGTGAATACTTTGGGTTTTGGGGCGTTAAAATTAACAAACCATTATTTTCCCAAGTTCACAACAGACTGAATGTCGTTTTTGACAGCAGCCACAAATTAGGTTATATGAAATCGAATTTTCAAAATAATGTATGGCGTTTGTTTTCACGCAAGTAAACATAAAAAGGAATTGGATAAAAATATAATTAAAGCAACAAGAATGAAAATAATTAGTGAACTTTGTTTGTCAGACCATTAACACTTTTCCAAGAAATGGTGAGATGAAGAATGGTAATTATTAATAAGTTTCGACTTTGTGTATGCGTATTTTAGCTGTGAAGCTCGAAAGAAATCTAGCGATAGACTAGCGATTGTACGCCTGTGTGAAAGGTCGAAGAAATAATTCCTCGCGTCTTGTTCACTTTTATATTACTAAAGCAGAGTCTATATAGCACTACCTCTCTCATGGTTTGAACCCAAATCTGTGTTTAATTCTCTCAGGCCTTGTTCAAGATATGGATAGCAAGGCATATAAAACGATTTAATGGAAAGCTATAAATGTAACACATTATAAAATGGAAAAAAGTCTGACAATTATGTTTTATAATAAACAGTATTTATAACATTTACCGGCCGAATATATTCTATGAAAATTTCTCGGACATTCAAGCCGGTGAATGATACAAATACTCTTTATTATAAAAACAGAGCATTTAATTAAATATTTGTATCTATAAAAAGAATGTATAAACATAAAAATTGTCTTAATATAAATGTACAACAACAAGAGATGGAGAGAAATAAAAAAAAGGAAACACGATTGAAGTAAATAAAAAATGAAGGCAATAATAATGGGTGAAAGAAAGAAAGAAAGAAAGAAAGAAAGAAAGAAAGAAAGAAAGAAACGCTAAAATGAACTGTTGAAAAAATGGCTGGACAAAAGAAGAAATTGGTAAACAAAAGTATAATCTGAAATAGGGCTACATAAAATAAAAAGAAAGAAAGAAATAAAGAAAGAAAGAAAGAAAGAAACGCTAAAATGAACTGTTGAAAAAATGGCTGGACAAAAGAAGAAATTGGTAAACAAAAATATAATCTGAAATAGGGCTACATAAAATAGAACGAAAGAAAGAAAGAAAGAAAGAAAGAAAGAAAGAAAAAGAAAGAAAGAAAGTAACGCCAAAATGAATTGTTGAAAAAAAATGGCTGGACAAAGAGGAAATTGATAGACAAGGATAGAAACTGAAGTACGTCAATATAAAAAGAAAGAAAGAATGGCAAAAATGAATTGAAAAAGAAAGTAAGAAGAAATGCACAAATTACCAGACCAAAAAGCGCAAGCAGATATGATAAATGAAATATCAACTGAAATATGATTATAAGTAAACGAAAGAAAGAAAAAAGAAAGAAACAATGTATAAAAGGCTGAACAAAAAGAGGGAAATTGATAGGCAAATTGTATAAATTGAAACGAACCAGCATAAAATAGAAAGAAAGAAAGATATTAAGAAAGAAAGAAAGAAAGAAAGAAAGAAAGAAAGACAGAAAGAAACACAGATAGATAAATAAAGAAAAGTAAAGAAAGTCAAAACAGAATTGTTGAAAAGGAAAGAAAGAGAAAAGAAAGCTGGACAAAAAGAGGAAGTTGCTATTGAAGAACTATAAACTTCAATATGACTGCTTAACATTGAGAGAAAGAAAGAAAGAAACAAAAAAAAAGACCAAAAAAAAAAAAAAAAAATAAAATCTAAAACGATAACCTGCAAATGTCTCATTAGATAGAGAAGCAATGCTTCAGGTTTATTCGATTTCACTTAAAAAATATTTAAAACGTGAGCTTGTCAATTTGACATTTGCTTCGCAACTGACTGTTATTTTCTTGGAGAATTGTACATGCGATAAGTCTTTATCTCTTCTGATACTAGCCAAATATGACAAATTGGGTTTGCTAATTGTTTATCTATATTTGTGCAGCTTTTATTGTTCCAGGGTAAAAGCTGGTAGAGTTTTATCGATCTCCTTTGAATTGGCCTCTGTATCCACTCGGGTATTCATCTCTTTCTTCTCCGTACACTTTCTTTATTTCTCAATCTCTCTCTCTTTCTCACTCACTCACTCACTCACTCGCTCGCTCGCTCTCTATACTCTTTCTCTATCCCTTTATCTCTTCTCACGATTTCTTTCTTTCGATATGTTTGTTTTTCAAATCTATTAACGCAAATTTTCGTTTAGAGATGCGGCCTAGGTTGTCATGGTTGTTTCGGTTGACTCTGCGTTGTGAGTTCAATCCACACTCGTTCCCTCTACTCGTAGTTTTATTCTAAATTTAATAAATATGGATCTTTATCAGGGAGGATAGGTAAAAATAGTTCATGCACAAAGCTGGATTTGTAGATCATTTGATATCATTCAGATTCTCAATGGATACGCGAAAATTGTGTCCATGTGCCATGATAAATTTACTGTCGTTTTTATTTTTTGTACATATTTTCCTTTTTCATCTGTTTATTTAATTAACTTCTGCATTTATTTTTCATTTCCTTTACAGGATTTCTTTTTTGCTTGCTTTTCTTTCTATAAAGATATTCGCCAATTCTTTCTTTTCTTTTTATTCAAAGCATTTTTCTTTCTATCTTTATTTCTTACGTTTTATTTTATTTCTTTCGTTCTTTATTTCCATATAATGATAATAATTTCTTTCTTATTCTTTCTTTCTTTTTCTTTTTTCTTTCTTTCTTTCTTTCTTTTTCCATACAATGTTCAATTGCTCTTTTTTTCTACTAATGGCTTCTTTCTTTCTTTCTTTCTTTCTTTCTTTCTTTCTTTCTATGCGATGATAATCCTTTTCTTCTTTTCTTTCTGTTAATCGCTTCTTTCTTTCTTTTCTTTCTTTTTTCTTTCTTTCTTTCTTTCTTTTTTCTTTCTTTCTTTTTTTTCTTTCTTTCTTTCTAATCTTACTCCGATTATTTTTTTCTTTCTATTTACATCTTATTTGTTTGTTTGTTCGTTTCTTTCTTTCTTTCTTTCTTTCTTTCTTTCTTTCTTTCTTTCTTTCTTTCTTTCTTTTTCCATACAATGTTCAATTGCTCTTTTTTTTCTACTAATGGCTTCTTTCTTTCTACCTTTCTTTCTTTCTTTCTTTCTTTCTTTCTTTCTTTCTTTCTTTCTTTCTTTCTTTCTTTCTATGCGATGATAATCCTTTTCTTCTTTTCTTTCTGTTAATGTCTTCTTTCTTTCTTTCTTTCTTTCTTTATTTCTTTCTTTCTTTCTTTCTTTCTTTCTAATCTTACTCCGATTATTTTTTTCTTTCTATTTACATCTTATTTGTTTGTTTGTTCGTTTCTTTCTTTCTTTCTTTCTTTCTTTCTTTCTTTCTTTCTTTCTTTTTTTTCCATACAATGTTCAATTGTTTTTTTTACTAATGGCTTCTTTCTTTCTATTTCTTTTTTCTTTCTTTTTCTTTTCTTTTCTTTCTTTCTACCTTTCTTTCTTTTCTTTCTTTCTTTCTTTCTTTCTTTCTTTCTTTTTTCTTTCTTTTCTATTAATCCTTTTCTTTTTTCTTTCTTTAATGTCTTTTTTTTTCTTTCTTTCTTTCTTTTCTTTTTTCTTTCTTTTCTTTTTTTTCTTTCTATTTACATTTATTTGTTTTTTTTTGTTTCTTTCTTTTTTTTTCATATGTTAATCCTTTTTTTCTTTAATGGCTTTTTCTTTTAATGTCTTTCTTTCTTTCTTTCTTTCTATGCGATGATAATCCTTTTCTTCTTTTCTTTCTGTTAATGTCTTCTTTCTTTCTTTCTTTCTTTCTTTCTTTCTTTCTTTCTTTCTTTCTTTCTAATCTTTCTCCGATTATTTTTTCTTTCTATTTACATCTTATTTGTTTGTTTGTTTGTTTCTTTCTTTCTTTTTTCATACAATGTTCAATTGCTCTTTTTTTAATGGCTTCTTTTTAATGGCTTCTTTCTTTTCTTTCCTTTCTTTCTTTTCTTTCTTTCTTTCCTTTCTTTCTTTCTTTCTTTCTTTCTTTTCTTCTTTCTTTCTTTTCTTTTCTATGCGATGATAATCCTTTTCTTCTTTTCTTTCTGTTAATGTCTTCTTTCTTTCTTTCTTTCTTTCTTTCTTTCTTTTTCTTTCTTTTTTCTAATCTTTCTTTCTTTTATTTTTTTTCTTTCTTTTTTCATCTTATTTTTTTTTTGTTCGTTTCTTTCTTTCTTTCTTTCTTTCTTGATAATCTTTCTTTCTTTCTTTAATGTCTTTTTCTTTCTTTCTTTCTTTCTTTTTTCCTTTTTTGTTCAATTGATAATCTTTTCTTTTTTCTTTCTAATGTCTTCTTTCTTTTTTTTTTCTTTCTTTCTTTCTTTTTTCTTTCTATGCGATGATAATCCTTTTCTTTTTTCTTTCTGTTAATGTCTTCTTTCTTTTTTTTTTTTCTTTCTTTTTTTTTTTTTCTTTCTTTTCTTTCTTTCTTTCTTTCTTTTCGATGATAATCCTTTTCTTTTTTCTTTGCGTTAATGTCCTTTTTTCTTTTCTTCTTTTTTCTTTCTTTTAATGTCTTTTCTTTTTTTTCTTTCTTTAATGTCTTTTTCTTTTTCTTTCTTTCTTTCTTTCTTTCTTTCTTTCTTCCTTTAATCTTTCTTTTTCTTTCCTTTTTCTTTTTTCTAATCTTTCTCCGATTATTTTTTCTTTCTATTTACATCTTATTTTTTTGTTTGTTTGTTTCTTTCTTTTTTTTTTTACAATGTTCAATTGCTGGCTTTTTTTTTCTTTTCTTTTTTTTTCTTTTCTATGCGATGATAATTTTTTTTCTTTTCTTTCTTTGTCTTTCTTTCTTTCTTTCTTTCTTTCTTTTTCTTTCTTTTCTTTCTTTTTTTCTTTTATTTTTTCTTTCTATTTACATCTTATTTGTTTTGTTTGTTTGTTTGTTTTTCAATTGCTTTTTTTTTTTCTTTTTCTTTCTTTCTACTTTCTTTTTTCTTTCTAATGTCTTTTTCTTTTTTCTTTCTTTAATGTCTTTCTTTTCTTTTCTTTCTTTCTTTCTTTCTTTTTTCTTTCTTTCTTTCTAATTATTTTTTTTTTCTTTCTATTTACATCTTATTTTTTTTGTTTTCTTTCTTTTTTCATACAATGTTCAATTGCTTTTTTTTTTTCTTTCTTCCTTTCTTTTTTTCTTTCTTTTCTATGCTTTCCTTTTCTTTTTTCTTTCTGACCGTCTTTTTTTCTTTCTTTCTTTCTTTCTTCTTTTTTTTCTTTTCTATTTACATGTTTGTTCCTTTCTTTTCTTCCTTTTTTTTTTCTTTTTTTCGACCGTCTTTTTTCCTTTTCTTTCTATGTACGTGATCTTTGCTTTTTGTATTTTCTTTTGTTTTCTTCTTTCTGATCTTCTTATAAGAAGAAAAAGAAATAATGGAAAATTTGTGCGTTTATAAACGCACAAATTTTCCATTATTTCTTTTTCTTTTCAACTTATTTTATTTTCCTCTTTGGTTGCTTCCTTCCGTCCTTCTTTCTTTCTTTCATCAATTGTATTATTTCATTACTTTCTCTTGTCTTTCTTTATAACATTTTTCTTTCTATATTAAGTTATTATTTCATTCTTTATTACATCAACTTCGTTAGCTTAAATATTCATTCTCTTTTCTTTTCATTAGTTTTTAAACATTCTTTTGTTTATTTCTTATTTATTTATTTATTTATTTCATTTCATTCTTTATTTATATCTCTTATCCTCTCTTTTCTAAATCTCATTCAATTTTACATTCAATATTCTTTTGTATATTTTATAACTTACGTCATTCGTTCATTCGTTCATAATTTCGATTTCTTTTTATGCATAATACATTTGTTGATTGTTGACTTGTTCTATCTTCTCTTTTTTTCTCTTCTTCTTTTTTTGCTGGTGGATTCATTCATTTTTGGGTCAATCTCTCTTATTTTTTGTCTTCCATTCTCTTCAAATGATTATGGCCACCATTGCTCAGATTTTTTTTTAAATCTATCTTTATTTTGCTTTCATTCGTGACTTTCTTTCATTTTCATTCTTTATTTATTCCTTTCTTTTACATCGATGCCTTACTGTCTCATCTTTCTTTCATTATTTCTTTCTTTCTTTCTTTCTTTCTCATATTTTCCTGTCTTTCTTTCTCATCTTTTTTCTTTCTTTCTATCTCAACTTTCTTTCTTTCATTCTTTATTTCGCATCTTTATTTCTTTTTTGTCTGTCACACCTTTCTTTCTTTCTTTCTTTCTTTCTTTCTTTCTTTCTTTCTGTTTTTCTGTCTCATCTTTTTTCTTTCTTTTTGTGTCAACTTTCTTTAGTTCTTTCTCTCTCATCTTTCTTTCTTTGTTTCTTTCTCTTCTTTCTTTCGTTTTATCTGTCTTCTTTCTTTCTTTCTTTCATTCTTTCTTTCTTCATTCTTTCTGTCTTATCTTTCTTTTTTCTTTCTTTCTTTCTTTCTGTTTCATCTTCCTTCCTTCCTTTTTCTTTCTTTCTTTCTCTTTTTCTTTCTTTCTTTATTAATTTAATTTTTCTTACTCTTCATTTCTTGTTTTCATGTAATCTTCTTAGCTACCATTACTGTAAAATCCTTTTGTCTTTTCTTGCTTTCGACATTGTCAATACATTTGTACATACGTTTACATGTGTTTGTTTGGCTTCACGCGATGCATCCAAAACCAAAATCAAATCAAAGAACAATACGATTTTCTCTGATTAATGGATCGAATTCTGAAGAAAACAAGAAACCATATCTTCAGCTAAAAAGATATTTTAAGAAACCTGTGAGAAATTAAAGAAAAACGTTATACATTGTTAGTAAAAAAAAAAAAGAAATTCCAACACTGAATATGCTTTTCCATTCATACAAAATAAAAAAAGAACAATACAAAACAATACATTTAGAAGTACCAAAACAAGAGATAGATTTGCAGTACGAAAACATAGTATTAAAATTACATCGCTCTTGAGTGGGGATATCGAGTTGTACTCTGTGTAATATAATAACAACACTAAGTAGAAGCTTATGAAGCTTTATTTTACTAATTCAGCTCTTGCGCTGAAAAACGTTTATTTTAAGGTGATAGTTTGAAGTGATAGGCGAGATGAGATGTGTTTATTTTATTACCACTCTGTATACGACCGCCCATAAGGCATATACTAGCCAAGATGTTTTACGAGAATTGTAAAAAATTAAAGGTCAACAGTATCACTTGGTAGTTAAATGATAATTCCAACATTGAATATGCGTTTCAATTTATGCAAAATTAAAATGATAATTCATATTTTCCCGTGCAGCAAGTGTCGTCTATCTATATCACAGATATTACCCAAGGGGAGGGCAGTTAATCATCAAAAATAGAAATGGAACGTCAATCGTTTTCTACTACACTTCTTACAATTCATTTG